AGTGAGGAAATGGAGAGATGGCCGATGGGACAGGAGTCTAAGAGGGCAGGTGAGAGAGACCAGCAGCAGGCAGATATTCAGAGCCCCTGGGGTTGGGAAATTCATCTTGGCTGGGAGAATTAAATGGGGGTGAGTTAAGGCAATCACAGGGTCCGGATCACTGCCAGGTGAGTGCTCTCTTTGTCTTTACCCTGGGACAGCTCCACTGTGCTGAGACACTTCAGTCACATGGTCCCAGATGTCAGGATGTGTGTGAGCTCTCCGGTTCTCCGTGCACGGTGCATGGTGACCAAAACATACTCTTCCTTGTTTCCTTAAACCTAAAATATGGGCTCAGCTTCTCAGGGCTTCTGGTCCTTGAAGGAGGTACCCCAGAGGACAGAGGCTGCTGTTTGGGATCTGCTTCCTGTGGGAGGAAGGTTTATTGTCCCTCTGGGGAATGCCTGTTCCCTGCCTCTAGGGATGGGTTGATCGCCACTTGTCTGAAGGGTCTGCAGGCCCTCTCTAGAGGCTTGGCTCTGGGGACAGGAGTGGGCTGCAGGGAGAAGGAGCAGAAAGCAAGGGCGCAGAGGCAGAGTGTGAGGGAAAGGCTTCTGTTGCCATGGAGGGAGCTGCAAGGTATTCTGGGATCAGCATTCGGATTTCAGAGGGGCAGGGGCAGGACAGGTGGCTGGTGATGGTGATGGGCCAGGGTCATTCTTCTGTCCTTAGTGCTTTCCCTGTATCCCAGAAGACAGTGAGTTCCCACTCCCATGAGTGGGGACTGGAACCTCTGCAGTAGGCCTGGCCACCCCCCATCTATCCACCCCCACCCCCCACGCCACCCCCCACCCCCCACTATCCCTTTCCTGTCCCCTTGGTCTGCCTTTTGTACAGGAGGTAGAAGCGGCCCCTTTCCAGGAGGCCTGTTTGCCAGCATGACAGCAGCAAATTAGTGCTCTTAAAAGGCATTCAGCATTTATCCAGCAAACACACTAGCTGCGAAGGGGGCCTGTTATGCCTTCTCCCCGAATCTGCTGAAAGGGGGTTTGTGGTGCATCTTAATCGACTTCCTTCCACCCACCACATTAAATGCATTTAATCTGCTCTTGCAAATGGCTAATTTTGAAAATCCGCTTATCAGAATTAGGTCCTCAGCATCCATATTTATTTACGTTTCATTTTCATAAATTTTTTGTCCCTGTGTGTGTGACTGAATTCTGTTTTCTATTGTCTGGCTGTATCTCATAAGTCCAGGGTGGACAAGGGCCAGGTAAGGAGCAGATTGGATGTGGGAATGAGAAAGGATGCCAGGGTGGGCTTAGGGATGAGCTTGAGAAGAAGAGAATGACCGCCTTGATGGATCCCAGGCTCTTGGGGCAGGCCTCCATTGGATCAGGGAT